TTTTTTTCTGACCCAATAAACATTTCGCTTTCCAATGGTCATGCCTTAACTTTGCAAATTCTTTGTATTTCATTAGTATTGCATCCTTCTCATGGGCATTTAATAATTTTTGACTTTTAGTCTGAGTTAAATCTGTTTTTTTGGCTCATTTTATATAAAATCATAACATATCAAAATATATAATCAGAATATCAACGTGGCTAATAATTATGCATATATATATATATATACTGTATAAATACATATTCTGGTGACTTTTAAATGAATTACATTTTAAATGAACTTTCAAACTGCCCCAAAAATTGATCTCAAGGTTTACCGTTTATCACACATCCAGGTACATATAGGACAGCAAATCTGGTTTGTCCACTTTGATTCTTCACTCTTACTTTCAAGCTGCTTCTCCCATTTACCATCTTTATGAAATATCTGGAATAGATTCCATCATCTTGAAAAGCATCAGCTCCTGTAAAAGATGGATCTCTAAATCATTTGCCAAAGTTGGGAAAAGTACCTTACACTTTATTCATTTATTTTATTTTAATTTAAATGTATATTTTATTGTTGGTAATTTACCTGCTCCATTGTCCAGCAGTTGTAATGTATGTACGGAGCCAGTTTCCGACTCCAGTGTAGCCCACACTTCAGCCTTTATTACAGGCCTGTAATTCTGACTAACCTCAGCAAACACTATCATGGGTTTAGTGCCGTCACTGAACTGCTGGTTCATGTGGGTTTTGACAATGATAGGGGGAACATCAGCTTGTGCCACTTGACTAGTTACTGTTATAGTGAAAGCCTGAAGTATTTTAGTTTGGATACTGTACTTCCAGTCCCCAGACTACCAAACACAAGAGTAAAACCACATCAGTAAGGGTTTGCTGTAAGTGTATCTGCTGAATTATCAGTGATATCTTCTTAGTCTGAAGTTGATGAATGTTTATCTACAACTCTTGATGCCTTTTATTGTGTTACGTAACACATTTAGGCCTACATGTTAACAGTTTGAGCTATAAGCGTAATAAATAACTGGTTGATAAAGGTTATCATACCTCTGCAGTTCCTGGAATGTTTAAAGTGACTGTTTTCTGTGATACATCATGATTCATATTTGTCTGAGTGTAGATTAAGCCACTTGGAGACTGTATGTAAATACTAGGCAAACTGTTTTCATAGATTATTACAAAGCTGGTTTTGTTCCCAACAGTCTGATCCACTGATACTGTCCCATTGAACAAATCAGATGTTCTTGCTCCAATACTCTCTAGCTAAAGGAATGAT